ACACAGTTAATTTTACTTCAGATATGATTTACAAAGTTGATAACTTAGTCCAACGGTTCAAGGAATCATATTACTCTTTCGGACGTTTCATAAAGTTCTACTATCATCTATGTACCTATTTTGAAACGTGTTCGAAGTTTTTCACTCCTCTTTCAAAATCGACCACTAGATACCTACGTGAAGAGATACATCATCATAATGCAAATCTTCTCATCGAAATTTCACGCAAAGCACGGTTGAGAAATCGGAAAACTCCACTTTTAACTCGCAAGTAAGCAAATATCTGACAGTCCTTCACATCTGATAATTCACGCTTCTCGTCTAACAAAAGACCAACATTCTGCCTAAATCAAGCCGGGCTCTTAACTAATTTCAGTTATGATTCAGCCCGTTCTTAGGTAAATCTAAAATTGGTTGGTATACGAGTAAGACCAACGTGAATTTTGGACTCATCATAAAAATTACACGAAATTCACCCATCATGTGTCCATCTTTTTCTTGTGGCAGCTATATTCGCGGTACAAAACACCTGAGGTCTAGAGGTCATCTACTCCCAGATTTCATTTTTTCTCCTACGGATTTACAAGCCGGTCCGATCAAAGCAACGGCGAATTTGGGCGCCTCGTTGATCCAACACCGCAGCGTGGTCCAGCCAGCACCGGCCACCATCGCCTCGAAACTCTCCGGCGTGAACTTGTAGGAATTTTCCGTGTGTAGACTCTCGCCCCTCTTCAGGCTGAACTCACGACCGGCGACGTGGAAAGTCTGGTCCCGGCGGCCCACCAGGTGCATCTCCATACGCCTCTCGGCTTTGTTCCACACGGCTCTATGGTCGAACGCGGACGGATCGAAATCCCCGCCCAGCTCCCTGTTGATACGGACCAAGAGGTTCTTGTTGAAGTCGCGGGTGACCCCCGTGGCATCGTCGTAGGCTGCGACCAGGGTCGGCTCGTCCTTGGCGATATCGTAGCCGATGATGAAAGTAGCGTCGTCGCCCAGAAGACCCCTAGCCGAGCGGAGGAACGCTTTGGCCCCAGCGGGAGAGAAATTCCCGATGGTGGAGCCCGGGAAGAACCCGACGCGAGCGCCACTACAGGCCGAGTGAGGAAGCTGCAATGCCGTCGTGAAGTCAGCCACAAGGGGCACCACCCGGAGATGCGAGTACTTCGTCCTGATTTCCCGGGCTGCCTCTTCCAGCGCAGTCGGGCTGATCTCGATCGGGACGTAGGTCGACAACTGCGGCGCGGCGTCCAACACGATGTGGGTCTTCTCGCTGGAGCCACTGCCGAACTCCACCAGAGCCGCGCCTGTCGGGATCGTGGCCGAGAGCTCGGCTGAAACCGACTTCAGCAAGGCCGCCTCCGTTTTCGTCAGATAGTATTCACGCGTTTTGCAGATTTCGTCAAACAGGCGGGAACCTTCAGCGTCGTACAGGTACTTGGGCTTCGGGGCGTCTTGAGGCGCGGAGAGCCACTTGACGATGTCCTGAGCGAACTCGCTATCGACATCGCGCGCTAGACGCAGACCGGACAGCATCCACTGCTTCTGGGGGTGGTAGAAGTTGCGGTAGGTGGCCCTGGTGTGGCCGCGCGGGGTGGTGGCGGCTCCGCCCCGGAGCACCATCTGCCCGGACATGAACTTGCCGTTGTACTCGCTGTTGGCCCCCGCGGCGGGCCTGAACCCAGGGTACGGGCTGTAAGCGCTGGCCGTCCACTGCCACGCTACGTCGAAGACCTCGCGGAGGGCCTCGCCGCGGGTGGTCACGGCGAACTCCCATTCCTGTTCCGTCGGGAGCCGGGCGTTGGCCCAGGTGGCGAAGGCGTTCGCCTCGAAGTAGCTGATGTGGGTGACGGGGGCGTCCGGGTCCAACGGGTGGAGTCCGTCCAAGTCCATGATCATCCAGGTGTCATCGGCGGGGACCCAGTAGATGGGCGCCGTCCAAGATTCTTGCTGCGCCACCGCCCAACCGTCCGAAAGCCAGTGGAGTGGGTTCTTGTAGCCACCGTCGGTGATGAAGGCCAGCCATTCCCGATTCGTGACCAAGCGGTCAGCCAGTTCAAAGGGTTCCAACCAGACCTTGTGGCGAGGCCGCTCGTTGTCGAAACTGAACCCTTCCCCATCGTGACCGATCTCGACGAGACCGCCCTCGAAGCGCACGAATTCCGCCTTACCCTCCGTCGTCTTCCGCCTGAAACGAGGGTCATAGGCGGGGTGGAGGGGGGACTGGGCGAAGAGGTGCAGGATGTCCGAGAGGATGAGTTCTTGATGCTGCTCTTCGTGGTTCAAGCCGAGATCTAGGAGGTCCATCAAGGCGGAGGACAGGGGGTGTTGAAGGAGTTGCGTCATGGCGGAGTCCACGTGACGGCGATAGGCTAGGACTTCCTCCAATGTGGGCCGGGTAAGGAGGCCCCGTCGTGGCCGTGGTTGACGCGGGCCTATCGTCTCATAGTAGGAGTTGAAAAGATAAGGAAAGGTCGAGCTGAATGACTTGTAACCCGGAAGGTGTGCCTCTAGGAAGAAGGTCTCGAAGAACCATGTAGTGTGACCGAGATGCCATTTCGTCGGGCTGGCGTCTGGCATTGATTGGACGCACTGGTCTTCCGCGCTGAGTGGGGCGGCCAGCTCGAGGGACGCCGCCCGGACGGCAGCGTAGCGACCCAAAGGGGCGTCCTTTGAAGTCTTCCCATTCCTGCAGATTCCGTTAGCACTGGGATCCGCATTGTGAGAACCGTTCAAAATTGGCGCACAGCCGTTACGGTTCGAAAATGAAGTCATCGAAAGGCGCACTTTTTTTTCTAGTTTGAAAAATCACTAATTAAGGAGTTTTCCTGCAAGGACTCGCACACCTTTTCAGAATCGCGGACGCGGTTTGAGGAGGAGCATTTCGGTTCAACGAACAGTGACAAACGACGGGACCAGAAGTAATTCGCTGGCGAAGTGGAATAGCGGGGGAGAGAGACTTAAGTGCATAATTATCGTGAGAGGTTCTTATCTGCGGTTTGCACTTCAGCCGGTTTCTTATTTCTGTAAATCCGCGGACCCATGAGTGTTTCGTTGATAATTTGCAACACGGTGAAAAATAACTTGAAGTACACGCTCTGCTACAGTTTAAGTGATTTCTGGTCTAAATTTTTTCGTTCGTTTATTGAGAAGCTGCTTGTATGAAATCATACGATAACAGTATCAGTCCAAATTGAGTTCCATACTTCACTGCGGTGAAAACCAAGGAGAAATTTAGCTTGTTATCACGTGACCAAGCTACTTTCTTCCATATGTTTTTGACCTTCTGCAAGACACTCCTCCAGAAAGTAAAATCTGTTGCTTGACATTTGGCTGAAATAATGTACAAAAATTTTAAAAAAAAATTTCGGCAGATTTTTTTTTCGTCCATTGTCCTTTTTATCACCTTTGTCAGAGAGGAGATGGGAAAAGAGAAAAACTCATATCGATGGTAAAACTCTCAAACCTCGTAACTAGGTTTGCGACGTTGTTGATTTTCTATCATACTTCATTTTTTAAATTTGTTTTAACATTTCTGTTTACAGAAGTTTTTAGTGATGTTCATTCCGGAGGGCAGACGAATAAAGATACAAGATGTTTCTGTTTGCGTCCATTTTGATCCTAGTACTCATGACCCGGACCTTAGAAGCTCGGATACAAGTTCAATCTTCTGTAATTTCGTTTTATTTAAAAAATAGCTCCATACATATATGATAGAATGGATATCCTTTTGGATATTGAAAAAATCCCCATTTTCCTGATCGCAATCCTCACGATTTCTTCGATTTTTCCCGACTCATTAATTTTCCCAGTTTCCTCAAACTGGCGATTTTCCATTGAGAAATATGCCACATTTATGGCAGGGGTAAAAGGTTTTGAGCAAAACGCGCAGTGAAAGTTTGAAACGGTGTCAAACACATGAACCAGTTGGTTAAATTAGAAGCAATTATTTTAATTAATATCCTAAAGTTTGGAGTCAATTATTAGTTTAAAAAGAAAACAATGAATAAAACAAGGCGTATTTTCAGATACTTCCTACTTTCAGCATGGTCCTCTATTGATAAAACTTTAAATCAGAAATCGTTATTAAAATGTCCGAGAACTCTCCTCCCACTACTTGTAAGTGTGCATGACAAGCAAAGTTGGTTCAGACACTTTCTTCCAGCGACCCATTGTACGACTAGGCATTTGTCCAAAATGTTTTTGCTTCCGACCCACTGTGCGATGAAAGTTTGTCCAAAAACTTTCCGCCCATGAGGTGTGACCGTGACCCACTGCTGCACTGTGCGGTCTATGTGTGGCAGTGCGGCCGGCACAAAACGCCTTCAATATTGGTGATACCACCTGGGGTTACCGGCAAGGTCGAATAGTTGCATCTCGCATTTAGCTCGCCATTCGGGCTGCATTGCCGGCGCAATTACTCATCGAATTCTTCTGAAATAAACGATGCGGTCTCGATTATCCGCGGCTACTGGGGCTGGGGGTACCGTGAATTATTTAAATTAAAAATAAAAAGTCGGTCACAAGGCGGTTCATTTGCTCACTATTAAACCTATCTTTCTACAATTTCCCATACCAGAAAAAAATATGGAAACATAGCGACGGTGAAAGTCGGCAATCACATAACTCGTTTGCGGTGTCTGAAAATCTCCGCCTCTACGTCATTTTTTTAAAGGAGAACAAATTGACATTATTTCTTGAAGTTTTAGCAGAATTTTCTTCGCATTAAGAAGAAAAATCATGACAGTTTTAAAGAATTGCCGTCGAGTAGTTTTCCATTTAAAAAATAAAGTATGACAGGAAGTCTGCGACGTCGCAACCCGAGTTATTTGATTGCCGACTTACAACGTCGATAGGTACTGCGAACTCAGTTCATTAAGCACTCTCAGAAGGAGCAATAAAATTGTTGTGTGCAAATTCTCCATTGCCGATTCGATGTTGTGGTAAGTGGTGAAAACCCCGAATCGATCCTATAGTTCTAAAAAACAGTCAAGACTTACCATCCCAGGCCTCGAACATGTCGTTGATGATGAAGTCGACGAAGCCCATCTGGGATTTGGGTATCGAGCAGGTCGTCCGGTCGAACTGGGGCATCACCACCGGTAGCTTGTTCGCTTTCTCGTCGTCAGTCTAAAAACCGAAGAAAATAGTCAAAAAGAGTATTTAACGGGTTAGAAATCGACTTTGAAGATATTTTGATGAATTCACCATCATATGAACGTATTCCTGCCAAACGAAACCGGAGACAGGTGGGGAAGAAGGGGTGTGCTTGTTAATGAAGGGTCATAAGAATGAATGGGAATTATGAAGCGCCAGTGACGCTGCGGTCGTCAATTCGCCGCTTTAACTCATGAGCTCTGTTCACAAGGCTCCTGTGCCATGCTGATGGCTCATGAGTGGCGAATGTCCGGCATGATTGCGTAGATATAGTCATCTCTTGCGATTTCATGTGCATTGCAATTGAGAGGCTCGGAGGACAAGGCGCATAAGTGCAGTTTTTGCTATTTCCAGAAATACGTGTTTGAAGTTTCGAAATTACATGGATCTACATGGCGAAGAGAAAGTTCAAACTAACATTTCGATGCTTAAAAATTAGAATTTGGGAGCAAATTTTTCATAGAATATGCATTAAGACTAGTTTTAATTGAATTCATTAATAACTCAGTTTTTTCAAAAACTATACTTATGCGCCTTCTCCTCCAAGCCTTTCGATCAATCTTGAAAAAAAGTGATCTGTTATACAGACCTGTGTGAAGTATTCCTCGGCGATGCGGCGCGCCCACTCGACGCACATGGTGAGTGGCCGGGTCGGGTTGGAGACATCGGCGCACTTGATCATCATCCGCTTCATGAGGTTCAGCTCGTCCGGACTGTTGGCCCAGATCAAATCCGCCCCCATCTCGCTCGGGCTCTGTCCAAACACCAATCACACTCAACAATTACAAGTAGTCTGGAATACTCGCTTGAAAGTTGCATCCATTACCTATTTAGAAGTTCCTACCTGAGTTCGCCCATCTGGTATCGATAACTTAAAATTTTTGTCCCTTTTCCCGTGGACAATTACATTAGCCACTTTTAGACGGTCAAATTGCGGGCTGCGGGTTGATTATTGAAATTGATAGACAAAACGATGGACAAAAAGGACACAAGGAGTATGGAGCGATCCTATTGGTTGAAATGTGTGGTTCCCATAGACTAAGGAAGAAAATGATGGACTAACTGTCGGGTTTCTCGTGGGTTGTCTTTAGTTAGTCTATTACCTACTGCCTTTGTCCATTGCAACCACCCGCTTACACCAATAGGATCCCTCCATACCCCTTTTGTCTTCTTTGTCTATAGCTTTGTCTATCAACTTCAATAATCGGCCCGCTGATTGTTGAAATTGATAGACTAAACAATGGGCACAGAGGACAAAAGGGATATGGAGGGATCCTATTGGTGGAAGCGCGTGATTGCAATGGAAATAGCAGGTAGGTAATGGACAAACTAACGGCAACCCACGATGGACCCTATGGTTGGTTTATCATTTATCCTCTTAGTCTATGAGATGCGTCCATTTTTACCGACAGGATCGCTCCATAATTCTTAAGTCTTCCTTGTCTATCGCTTTGTCTATCATTTACAATAATCACCCCGCTGCAGAGACTGAATTGCGTACCACGTCACCCGGAAAACATCGCTAAAACTGCGGGTGATCCGACAGCCCCGCATCGAGCAAATATTCCCTCTTTGCCCTCTCTCCCTCCTCCCCCTTCTCCCCGGTTAGGTACCTCCCCGTGCCTCCCCTATATTGCACCCGACGATCGGAATTAAGAGCTGCTCTCGTGAGATGGCGACCCAGAAGTGGAAGGGAAGCGGGGGATATTTACCGTGTCTGTCACCCGAACCGAACAGGTGCTCCAATTTGCGCGGTCTGACCGCTGCGTATCGACTTCCCACCTCCAGCAACAGCGCAAACACGGTGGCGTCTCGGATGGGGGTGCGTGGAGTGTGGAAAATTCACTCCCCAGGAAAAAGTCGGCGTGCTTTGCGATATATCGATTGTTATGCCATTTAAACCTATGGTAAAGAATCGATTATAAAAGTGTTCGCTGCAAACACCCTGTTTATCGATCCTCTTCCATAGGTTTAAATGGCATAACAATCGATGTATCGCAAAGCACGCCACACCACTGCTCCCCAGAAAAAAGTCGGGGAAACTCAGAGAATAGGAAACATCGACTGAGATTGCACGTGATTCGGTGAAAATTGCTTTTTCGGGTGGGGGTGATAATTGGATTGCATTTTGCAAAAAGGAAGCAGAAGCATTGCAATGATGCTAAGATTGTGCAAATTCATCCTTTGCGATAAAATTACTGAAATCGTGAAAAATATGAAATTGACACAGTAACTTCTGCCTTAAATTTACAGTTTTTAACGCGTAAAACAGACACTGCTGACGGATGATCAGGTTTCTCTTCCAAGAAAAAAGAAGTTGCACAATCTTAGCAACATTGCAATGCTCGTGGTTCCTTTTTGCAAAATGCAATCCTATCGTTATGACCTCAAAGGACTGATCGATTCTATTTCAATATAAATGTGAATTTTAGAGCTAGAAAAACTTACAAGTGTTATAATTTCAATACTGTTGTTACTTCTTAGATTCCCAAGTCGGGTCGTATTGACCCGAAACTAATAATGCATGCCCCGTGCGTCGAATGAGGCTAGTGCATACGAGCTTTGGATATATGTCTACAAATAAATATATCCTTGAAAAAAGAACCAGACATCAAATTGGAAAAGAAAGAGAAAAATATCGAGTATCAACACAGCCGCAAATAAGAGAGATGTATTTTGGGCCTCGCTTTTTAACTTTTCGCCGGAATCTGAACGACACCTCATTGGCAGCCAAGAGCGAACCATGTTCACGCCTCGCGCCATCGCGCCTTCAATTTTGCAGATGCAACATGGGCATCCATCAAGTACGAATAGTTGCATCTCTGCGCCGTCCGTCAACAAAGCGCGTCCTATTCTTTGCTCTACTTCCATGTTGTGTTAGTTCCATCTGTCTCATTTGTAGCAGTGCTTCAAAGGCTATGTGAGCGACAGAGCTGAAGATAGGAGAGACGTAATCGGGCCTACTTTTTAACTTATCTCCCGAATGTTGTAACGTAGTTCTTTTTCAATTTATTCGTTCGCACATACTTCATTTCAGCATGAATAGGCCCAACTCGCCTAAATTTGTAGCTGGATTTCCGTGAAAAGAAATTTCATTTTGTGTGCAGTATGCTTTGGATTGGCAACTCAAAGCACGTTCAAACGAGGGGCTTGGAGGACAAGGCGCATAAGTGCAGTTTTTGCTATTTAGAGAAGTACTTGTTTTAAGTTCCAAAATTACAGGGATCCTTACGGCGCAGAGAAAGTTCGAAATGACTTGCTGATACTTAAAAATTTGAATTTAGGAGCAAATTTTTTGCAGAATATTCATTAAGACTAGTTTTAATTTAAATTTTCGCGCCTTGTTCTCCGAACCCTTCAATTGAGAGGTGTCGTTGTGAATTCATAATCCACAGTCACGCCTACTTTCAGACCGTCACGCTACCCGTCCGCTTTTCCCGCAACTGTCAAGCAGAATATCCTGTGTCACACTATCAAAATACTCCATCAAAATGTCAAGGTCAAGTGCTATGATTGGTCCAAGTCATCGAATTAGCCAATCACAACACCTGAATTGATATTTTGATGGCTAGCTTTGACATTGTGACACAGGCTAATGTGGGTAAGTGCGCCAACGGCAACAGCGTTTTGAGCGGAAGAAAGAGTCATGGATGACGTCATTTACCTTGCAGTCGCCGAGCGGGGCGTCATCGGAGAGCGACGTGGAGCCGGTTTTGTTGAAGACGCTCACGAACTTGGCCAGGTGCTCGAAGTGCTTCGTCATCTCCGTCGCCAGGATCATGTCCACTATACTCTGCCGCGCTACTTTGTACGTATCGTGCTCTAAACCTGCCACAAAAGAGGGGAAGTATCAGTCACGTCGATTATGTCCATTGGCGGATCCAGCAACTTGGCAACATTTTTTTTTTTTTTTTTTTTTTTTTTTTTTTTTGCAAGATAAGTCATTTATTTAAACAAAATTGATAACAGAAAGTATTTAACAACATGATAATAACTATAGTAATAGATGTTAAGTGGAGATATAGCTTAAGTATATGGTATAGTATTATAGTAAACAGGTATTAGGTATAGTAACAGTAGTATTGGGTTGGCAACATTGTCTTCTCTCCATATAGACCTAAGGAAATGTATCGATTCTGGGAAGGGGGGGGTGCTCCGACAAGAATCGATTATTTAGCATAGGTTTAAATGGAGGAAATACGGTGTTGCCAAATTGTTGGATCCGCCTCTGATTATGTCGATAAATCCTGCAGGGATTATGCAATGGCACCGTTAGGTATGTCTCGACTTTAATCTGTGCGCAGCGAAAACCAGCGAGCTGCTTAATAAACTGATAAACAAAGCGACAGAAACATGCTACGAAGGAAAAATTGAGCGACTCTATCAGGATCCAGGTCAAATTGACCTGGCTATCTCTTCTGGAGGAGTGATGGGGATTCATATACGAATTTTAGATATACGCCTCCAAATATATTTTAAAAAAGAATCAGACATCAAATTGGAAAAAAAAGAAATTTAGCGAGTGTTAATAGAGCTGACGATAAAAGCGTATAATTTTTTATGTTTTCTCCTAAATCCGAGCGACACCTTATTGACAGCATAAGGAGCATTGCGAGTTCACGCCTCGCGCCAGAGCGCCTTCAATTTTGCAGACGCAACGTGGACATCCATTAAGTTCGAATAGTTGTATCTCTGCGCCGTCAACAACGCGTATCCGTTCCCTAGCTTGATTGTGTAGGTTCCGCTTGTCTTATTTGTTGTGGCGCTTCAAAGGCTACGGGAACAACTCAGCCGATGATAGGAGATGCATAATCCGATCATGTTTTTTGACTTTCCTCCCGAATCTGAACGAAATAAAATGGGAGCGGAGATTTTTAAACATCGTAAACGGGACGCGCATTTTTGTAGCTTAGGACTCGAACTTGGACGCATTAAAAATTAGACGAAGGGCCTTCTAATTTTTTACTCATGTTTCTTCTTCTACTTTTTCTTCTCTCCTCTTCTCTCCTTCTTTATCTACGAACGACTAGCGTATAGCCGTGCTTGTCAGGCCATTTAATACCGAGCACGTTAAACCATAAATATCATTATAACAAGAAATCATTAAAACATCTTCTCCTTGGTCCAACTATTCTACTTCTTCTTTTTCTCTTCTTATTCTTCTCCTTTTTCTCATTTCTAATAAATTGATGTGCCGAATGTAGACATACATGTTTCATCGAAGTTATCCATGTAATGGTCTAAAACACAATAGTTCGTCAGACTAGGAACGAATGGAGGAAATTATTGCCGCTGCGCCACCTCCCAAGAATTACCACTTGGAATTTATTTTGCAATTAGGTACCATCATTTCTGACTCATTTGAAAAATCACTCATTTGCACATGGAAACTAATGGCACATATGTTGGCCCTAAGATGAGCTGGAAATCTTAGTTCCTAATTGCAAAATGTGGTCCACTTATGAATCGGAATCAAAGCTTTGAGAAAACTCTTAAAGGATTCCCGCCATTCTTAATATGTTGGAGCGCCTTCAATTTCGTATGATACTGTGCAACACCTCTGTTGTGAAATAGTTGCTTGAGGCGCCGTGCGCCGTGGCACGCTGCGGCGCGGCGCGGCGCGGCCGTTCAGCGGGCACTCGCATTGGCGCCTACAAACCTAAGGGGATACTTCAAGCAATGCGCAATGCGTGAAGTATCCTGTTAGGTTTGTAGGTGCCAGTGCGCGTCTCGCGCTGGCAGCACGCCGCGGCCGCTCCGCTCTGTGTTAGGCTCTAAAAAGCAGCTTTCCTCGGCAATTCCTGATTGCATACAGGAAAATACTTCGTCGCTCGGCTGACATTAAAGCGTAACCACAACAGTGGCGATTCTTGAAAGTTTACAACACTGTCTTTCCTCGATTTAAATGTATGTAAAACAATCGATCCTTGCTGTTTCACCTAAAATCGATAAGTTTAATGTATTTAAATGGAGGAAAAACAGTGTAGTCAGCTAGCAAAATCGCCACTGAAGTACACTTTGAGATGAACTCTCTGGAAAGCATTGAGTTATATAGACGATACGATTCATTGAGAAGTATTATTACCAGTGGCAAGGCGTGAATGATCGATTATCGATATTTTCCGAATTGAAGCTGTGGTAAAGAATCGATTATGAAGGTGTTCGTTGCGAACACTATGTTTATCGATACTTTTCCATGGGTTTAAAGGGCAGATCAGAGCAGATGGCAATGGCAGATGGAGGTATTCGAATGGAATATTTTCCAACAAGAAATCGTCACCTTCCAGGCAAAGTATCACAAGCGCCATGCGACGTTTAAAAATTTCCGCCGCCATTTTATTTCTTTACGGAAAAATTGTTGGTTGAATGTGTTTGGAAATTTCACTAAATTTTATCGGCAGCACAAAGAAAATTCAGTGAAATTTTCGGACAGCTTCGTTGAAAAATTTCTCTGTAAAAAAATAAAATGGCGGCGGAAATTTTTAAACGTCGCATGGCGCTTGTGATACTTTGCCTGGAAGGTGACGAAATGATGAAGTTCCGCATCTCCAGACCATGAAAAAATTATTACTTTTGATGTTAAGAGTAGGCGCCAGCGAGGCTGTTCAGCCCGAGTTACAGTTGCAAGGGAGGTGGGGAAATCGGGGGGCTGGAGGGGACGGGTAAGGGGGCTGGACTGATCTGACGTCGACCAACCGAAATCCGTCTCGATAAAGGGGATCCCGTGATTTAACCACTCGATGACGTCGTTAGATTCCAATCTGTTCTAATCCAAACCGCAGTCTTTCGAAATAAATATAAGCCCGCAACTTTCGGTAACCACGAGAAAATAAACTGCTCCATAACAATAAAACCTTGTTGAGGCGACGTCACCGACGGCGTCCGGTGTTGCCAATGTCTGTCTCGAAATTTCGTCAAAGGCCAACTTGAATGAATTTACTTGAATATTGATGTTCAGTGGCGTGGCGTGTTTTGCGATATATCGATTGATCGGTCATTTAAACCTATGGAAAAGTATCAATAAACAGGGTGTTCACAGCGAACACCTTAATAATCGATTCTTTACCAGAGGTTTAAATGGCAGAACAACCGACATATCGCAAAGCACGCCACGCTACTGTTGATGTTACTTTAATTTTTAGGCAATATTAAGCGTAGAGGAAAATTCCAGCTGTTTCCTCCCGAAAAATCTCGTCCACAGACTAATCCTAAGTTAAAGCTGAAAGCAGTGAAAGCATGCAAATGCGCAGGTAGCATTACAGATCGAGCTGATAATTTTCGCGTTCGCACGCTTCCAGCTTTAATTCAGGTTTTGTGAACGTGATTTTTTTGAGTATACATCTGAAATATGCTCGTGAAGGCAATTGATCCTGTTTTGCCAAAAATCAAAAAGTAAAACCAGTATTTTAGGATTTTTTTTCAAGATCTCGACGTTCTCCTCAAAACTAGCGATAAAGTATAACAAACGATTCAGCGGAGAGATGAGTGATGCATCAGGAAAAAATCTGTCTTTGGACACATGGGAATATTTAAATTACAAAACTTGAGCTCAGAAGGCTTAATTTTACGCATTATTAAGCGCAAAGATCAACCAAAAATTGACCATTTGGCACGGCAATTCATACTATGTGCTACGTCCAAATAAGCGACATATCGATGGTGAAACTACCAAACCACGTATCTCGGTTTGCGACGTCGCAGACTTCCTGTCATACTTTATTTTTTAAATGAAAAACTACCTAATGTCCAGTCTTGAGAATTTGTGTGATTTTTCCTCTTCGTGCGAAGAAAATTCTGTGAAAATTTCGAGGAATGATATTGATTTGGTCTATTTCAAAAAAAAAAAAAATGTGAGCGTAGATTTTTAAACACCGCAAACGAGATACGTGGTTTGGTAATTTCACCGTCGATATGTAAGCCTTTCCACCATGAAAAGGACCTTCCTCTAAAGATGTAGCAATTTCAGTCAAGTAATATTGGCGAGTTCACTTCCGGTGTAGATTCAACTTAATCATTTGGGGTGAAAAATCATGCGCTTAATACTTGGAGAGGAACATGGCTATAATGGACATTTTTCATGGGATATTTTCTGGAGTGGTCATCTTAAATGGGGCATTAAGACTCCACTAAATGCTTCGCGGCGTAGGCAACGTAGGCGTGGCTTGAACGACGAACATTGCACGGTCGCGACTGGCGGTGAACCGTTTTATTTACGGTAATTTTTATCGCTGCAAATGCGAATTCGGCCGAGAAATCCTCCAAGTGCGTTATAGGCGCACTAAAACGAGAAAAAAAGCGCCGGAAAGAGCGAAGTGGCGCTATCCGTCGGTCCTCTGACGTAAGGGAGTATCTCAATTTTTGCGTGACCCCTCTCTTCTGTATAACTCTGTGCTTTCCGCGGCTCTTTTGAGAGTAGAGATACGCCTTTACGTCAGAAAGGTGACGTATTTAGGAGGGCAGATTAAGAGCGGGCGACGGGGGTGGAATTTCCGTCGGAAAAACAAAAGCTCGTAAAAAGATTGTTTATTAGCGGCAGTTGGCTTCTTTTTATGAGCTGCGAAAGCGGGGGAGTTGTGTCAGTGGAAAATGGGAGACGTCCGTGCCAGATTGTGTCATGGGATGCACGTATACAAATTGGACGTATTTCTGTCAAACGGAACTATGTGCATCATGACGTGAGCTCTGTTATGCATATATTCTCATGGGTCTCAGGGCTCATGTCTTAATGCACATAGTTCTGTTTGACGGAAATCCGTCCCAATTGCTAAAGTTGAAGATGTGTATCTCAGACTGCGGCGTTGTGAGTCTTCCCTTTCGTTTTATTTTTTTTTTAGGGAAAACTAATCAGCGTTTTGAATTTTTAAGGAATTTTCTTCATCCAATAAAAAACTTATTCAAATAAGGTCGCAAAAAAAAAAAAAAAAAAAAAAAAAAAAAAAAAAAAATTCAAACTAAATTGCGTAGATAAAACACAATTATTAAAGATTTTAAACCGTTGCGTTTCGTCGTTACCCGTACGAAAGAACGTAACTTCATCCCAACGTTGCATAATCTACTCAAACAATTCATTTTTTAACAAGAATATGTCTGTAAATTTTTTTTCTAAAATCTTTTCGATTTTTGCATGCGATCATAAAAGAAATCAATAAAATTTTCAGTTAAAAGTGCTCAAGCTTTTTCTGGTGAAAATGCCATTTGGAGGGGAAAATTAGGCAATATCTAAAAGTAGTTCCGTTCTTTTATGACGGGAACAACGAATTGAGGTCCATACAGCCATCGATAAGTGCTCTTCCGCGATAAAGGAACTTTGCTTCACAAAAACTCAAAATAATTGTGCCACTGATGTCAGGGCACGGAAATATCTGTTATGCAAATATTCAGGGTCAAAAAAGCCCAAAATTTTCTTAGTCATTCTGACTTAAAGTTTGCTTTTTAAAAGACGCAGTTCTGAAAAAAAAGCTTTTAAATGTGTCCAGAGCACAAAATTGACGAATTATAACGCAATTGTGAGATAAACAAACCGCTCCCAACTCATTCTTAGTGATACAAGGGAGAGTTCTTCATCAAAACCTTTAAATTCAAGTTTTTGATCAAACTTAAGACAATTGCTTGGATGGAACTTTTGCCTCCTTGAAGTGAGGTCCTTTTTCCGTTCATCATATCGCTTTACTGTGATGGAGCACATACCATTGGGAAAAGGGTTGGTATTGCGGTACAATGTGGCAATTGTGTTAGGAGAATTCCCGCGAGGAAGGAGGGATGGGTGGGCAGGGGCTAGTTGGCAGCCGGTTTCAGAACTTTTTTGATTCCGCTTTATTGGAAAGTCGAGTCAGATATTTTTGCCGGATTGAAGAGGCTATTCAAACCTTTATTCTTTGTCTTTTGTTTTAGTGTCTAGCGGAGGATAGGTCAACTGCGCGCAGTATTCCTACTAACGTAGCGGATTTTTCCGAGAATCAGTAATAATGAAAGAAAAATCTGAGGAAATTTGGATGTTCTTCATAAATTGTTCGCATCTGCAAAGGTTTAAAAGAATGCAAATAGTCCAAAAAAAAATATTGAAGTTTCGCAAAACTGATTTTTGTGCCATTTTCCATGTGAAATAACTCTTCTCGCATTTTGTTCTGTTTATTATTCAGATGGGAAGAGAAGGAGACCAACAAAAGCATACCTTTGAAAATATTTATCCTATCGTCTTTCAACGTGAGTTTGAAAGTGAGAGCCGCGTGGTGCGACTCGAGAACACTGATGTCATTGTATAGGATCGCGAGGTCGTCCCCAGAATTGATCAGGAACAAACTGAAAGCGTATGGATAAAAATTAGCCGTCCATCATGTATTATTAAAAGGTATATGGGTATGGTAAGGGTTATGTATTATGTATTAATTAAAAGGTATTCCAGATAAAGGACAAGTTTTGCCAATCTCGAGTGAAATTCAGTGTCGTAAATTTTAGATCAGGGTTGCCACAGAATTTGGAATATCAAATTCCCTGACATTTCCTCGATTCCTGAGACAAATTTTGGTGAAATTCTCTGACAATTGAAAAAAATGCCAGTTTCTTAAAAAGACATAGTTAGAAATTCTTTTTAGGCAAAACTTGTTGTTCGAAACGTCAAATCCACTCGAGAGGGCAAATGAAGGTGATTTGACGATTTCCTCCCAAGAAATTTTCGTCATTTTCCCTGACATTTTCTGGTTTTTCCTGACTTTTTAAAATTTCCTGAAATTTCCCGTTTTCCCAGTATTCTCTGACTGTGGCAACCCTGTAAATTGAGTTTTCCTCATCTTTTCTTCTTCTTTTTTCAAAGTCAACTTTCTTTTTTTCGCGGAGGCGTAGCCCCCTATTTACTATCTACTAAATTCAAGCTTTTTTTGATCTTTTAATCCTCTATTGCATATGTACACATATATGTAATTTGAATTTGAAATATAAATTTTTCTTTTTCGACGGTTGATAATGACCACGAGACCGGTCGAAACGTCCCGTGTTCTGTAAATTACTTTGTTTTTAAGCCTCATCCCCGCCTTTTTCTGTATATCTATGTTTTCGGGCTGCCACAGTGTACATTTATCTATATGGACGTATTTCTATCAAACGGACCTAAGCGCCATAGGGTGAGGAAGGTAGAGGGGGGCTTGGATTGACGGCGGAATCGGGCGTTGGGCTCATTCCGTCCTATACTCGCAATGCTTTTCCATGACGCTTAGTTCCGCTATCCGGCATTCTAAATTCCTCAAAAGGAACTCAAATTGGCGCTTAGTTCCGTTTGACAGAAATACGTCCATTTATCTATACGTAATTTGATGTATATTCCTCTTTAACTTTCTCCTCGGTGCGAAGGGGCTGGTTTTACCTGCTCTTGCCGGGGTGGTCGATGTCGTGGGTGGCGGCGGCGATGAGGCAGCAGGCTTCGTCGAGGCCGTCCAGGTGCCGCTTGATGTGCTCGCGCTCGAGGAAGACGGCCGTGGCCTGGAGGACGTCGGCGGCGTGGGTGGAGTTGTGGTAGGTGTTGTGCGAGTGGTAGTGCCGCTCCATCACCACCAGCCACGAGTGCAACGTCCGCTCGTCGCAGCCCAGCGTCTTGTGCACCTCGAAGTGGAGCAGGATGTTCATCCCCAGGTACGCCAGCGGCCTGCCCCAGACAAAAACAAATACACGTTAACTAATAACAGATTACGAAAGAGGAAAAGAACAGAGCCAATGGGCTGACTACTGAAATTATTGACAAAGCGATAAATAATGAAATTAGGTTAACTAATTTGATATTTTTTACTCTTATAATCTCTAGACTTTTTGAGATTCATGATCCACACAGCCTCTTTTACAATCTCAGTCTTAATAGATTTCCTGCTTTTTTAATTTTATTGTTGAGTGTTTCTGAGTTTTGGTGTCTAAATTCTTCTATTGTTTGTTTATATAGTCTTTTATTATCTTCTTTAACTAAAGAATTTATCAATTTTTACTCTTATAATAAAATAAAAGTTAGAGTATTCTTATTTATCTCTCTATTTATCTCTCTATTTAATTTATTTATTAATGTTTTAGGTTTGATCCCCTGCGTTTTTTCTTGTTTTTCCCATTTCCCATTTTTTCCATAGACAAAGCGATAGACAGAGTGATAGACGAAGTGATAGACAAAATTAACGTTTATTATAAAGTTAACGTTATTCGCAATAGGATCTGGCATCTGAATCAACTTGAAATTTCAAGAGAAAATATTCATAACTCTCTTCAAAAATTAGCATTTTATCAGAGGAAATTTGGCAACTCCTGGAAAAATGTTCACACGGCGTTTTCCCTCAGCACGGCAGTTTGGGTTCCACAACGAGATACGTGCTAGCAAGTGAGGAGCCAGCACAAAGCGCAGAGCGGCTTCGATTGCAAACAAGGTGCGGGATACAACTATTCGAACTTCGCGGTAACCCCAGGCGGTATCATTCGGAGTTGAAGGCGTTTTGTACTTCGGCGTTGCGTAGCGCCGATGCAGTCGCGTAATAGCGCTGGTAGCCTCACTGACAACCTGGACAGCGCAGTGTAACTGTGTTATTTTGAGGAAGTAAAGCAAGAGTGGACATTTGGACGCACTATAATTAAGATAGAGTATTTTCTTTAGTTTCACCGTCAATTTTTCCTTATCAAAGCAACGCAAAGTTCTTCGAGGCAGGGAATCTAAAATATTCCATGGATAATCGAGAAAGTTGCAGGATTTTTCGCCGTTAAAAGACTGTTGGGTAGGACTAAGGCTATGTTTTCGGTCATTTTATTTTATTTCTTTGCCATAGAAAAAACTCATACAGTTTTTGTTTTGATTGAGGGAGGCTTATAGCCTCATTGACGTGGCTACATAAAAGACACTTTTTTTCAACTACTGGTAAAATTCTACAACGAAACTTTTGCGTTGGATTTTCCTACGGGATTGAATTTATATGCCACTAAAAAAATCACGGAATACAAGAAAGGAAATATAGTGCTGGCTCTTCAAATTCTCAAGGTAGGTCCTCGCCTACACTAAATTTTGCCCAACTCGTGGATTTTTTTTCTTGGTATTTTGTATTTTTGCGGATATAAATTATTTTAATCCCTTGAAAGGATCTATTCTCAAAACTTTCTCGTAGAATTAGACCATAGTTTGCAAAGCGGAATTAGTTCTGGCTTTTATATATAAACACCTATCTACATAGGGAAACGAATGGCTTTTTATCTGTTTTTAAATTGAGCCTGAAATTGTAGTTCCTTATTGCAAAATTTGGTCCAATTGTACTCATAGTTGGTTAACATTTTTCCATTTATTTGCCACATGAAAGGAATTTGTAGGTCTTCCTCAATTACGATGTGAACCATATGAAACCTCCATACCGACGGTGAAACTACAGAACCGCGTATCAATTGGTTCGCGGTGTTGCAGGCTTCCTAGCGTACTTTTTGTTTCAAAATAGAAAATAACTCAACGCCATTTTATGAAGACTACGGCGATTTTTCTTCTCCATTTGCAGAATATTCTGCAAAAATTCAAGACATGGTATCGGTCCGGTCTCCTTTGGACATATGGCCCGCGTTAAGCAGAAAGGAACCAAGCCACATCAGCTATTGCCGAATTTAATTGGACACTTTAATATTTTACAAGAAAACATTTGAGCGCATTCCTTTGAAAATTTTAAGGAATCTGCATCATATTATGCGAAAAATTAACTGAAAGTACAAAAATCCGCAAAACCGTTTTCATGTAAAAAATTAAATTGCCCACTTAAATTTGGCAATGACTGATGTGGCTTGGTTCCTTTCTGCTGAATGCGGTCTATATAAAATAGGAGCGGAGATTTTGAAACGCCGCCATCGATAAATGCTTTATTTCAGTTTCTCCGACGCGCGATATGGAATGAAACTGTCTGAGGGACGCCTATGAATACGACCCTTGGAAATCGAGCACCACAATACGTGTGTCCCTTTAAAATTTTATGTACACCAGACGGTGAATGCATTTTAAATTTTAACGCCCAGCTCGTAAGAGAGAATTATTAAGGTTATACTACTCCACTTCCGGTGCTTAAAAATTTATTTTATGACAGCGCGATATGCGAAATTGCGCGCTTGTACGACTGCCGCGTGAACTTTCCGACACTTCATGTTCCTTTGACGACAATACGTTCATTCGCAACAAAACGGTTTGCGATCTTTTTATTCAGCTATCCATCTTTTTACGACCCAAACTTGCCTCACTTCGGAACTTCTCCCGGTCATGTGCACCGTGTTCTCCGGGAAAAATCCACCGTCATTCCGTTCGGAGAGCGACGCAAATTCCAGCTCGTAAAAACGCGCAAGAAGCACGATGCCAGATTTTGGGTATTTTTTCACGTACTTAAAATTAGTGCAATGGTGTACTAGACAGTGTTAAGAAAATGAGCGTACAAGACATACATTTCTCATTCAGAATATGTTTGACATATTGAAAATATCAGAAATCAGCTCAGAAAAAAGTTGGTCTGATCAAAATTAGCATTTGTCGTTTATGTTCGAATCAGTCGAATCAAAATTTTCGATCTCGAGGCGGTCAGATTTTTCGTCGTGTTGTGTATAACTAAGCCATATCATTGAGCTAGTTTATCTCAGTCAAATCTGGTTCGTGGAATTAGTTCCACAAAAGTTCGATATCAGAGACAATATATTTTAGAAATTCCAGAAATGTTAGCGTAGCAGTTAAGTTCGGTTGTCAACGCTTAGATTCACTCGATGATAATTGATGGACAAACGGTTGCGATATACATTCAATAAAGGTAACTTTCTTTGAAAAAACTTGCGTAACAAAGCACTCACCCTGAAATTCACCGGTCAGCGATGGGTGAAGTATAATAATTATGGTCATCAAGTTACCCATCAACTTAACTATCGGTGGACGAAAAATGGCTATGATTTCCAACCTTCCCAAGAAGTTTTGCATAACCAAATTAAACGGACGTATTTCTGTCAAACGGAACTATGTGCATTATGACGTAAGCTCTGTTATGCTCTTATTTTTATGGGTCTCAGAGCTCATGTCTTAGTGCACAAAGTTCTGTTTGGCAGAAATACGTCCAAATTGTCTAGATTGTTAGTGCGAGGTCTCTGAAAGATAGTCAAACGCCTTAATGTAGATATGTCTCTTTTGCAGGGTTCATTAAATTAATTCGGGTTCATACGAGAGAAAGAGATGATTTTCAGCCAAATCCGGCAACAATAAAAGATGACTGATACACGCGTAGGGAGGTGACGCTTTTCAGTCATGAAGCCTCTATGCAAATAATGATGGTTGTTTGGGAGTCGAGTTCGGGTGGTGAAATTTTACGGCCGCCGGAACGGAGCTACCGGCGCAAATCGTCGTACGTTTATGGTACCGGGCCAACTTTATCCCGTCGGAAACTTGTTGCTCCGATAAGCTCGTTTTTCCGACGGAACTTCGACACGGGCTCGAAATATGGAGCAAATTATTCACTCTTATCGATGACGTACTGTGGGAGCTTAGCGTAACACCCCCCACCCCCACACACGTAAAGTTTCTGCTGGAGATTAAGCTTGAGCATAATTTAGGCAAATTCTTTCGCAGGTTACTGACCTGAACTGAGGCAACTCAAAGCGAGACTGAGCGTCCAATGGGTTAGTTACACTTTATTACGAGAAGATAGAGACATTTGATCAAGGCAGATAAATTTGGATCGCATTTAGCAAAAAGGAGCCAGCGCAAAGAGTGTTGTTGGCTTCTTCATGTTTATTTAACGAATCTTCCAAAATAGCAAATATATTTAGCATCCCACCAAAAAATTGTCAATTTTAAAGCGAAATAATGTGCAGATTTTAAAACTGTACATATCACTGGAAAAAAAAACACATTTGATCTAGAGTCCAGACTCTTAAAAACATCGACAAGAAAAAATTGCTTGCAAAACTTGCTTTGCTAAGGAAAAATTGACGGTGAAACTAAAGGAAATTCTCTATTTTGATCATGGTGCGTCCAAATTTCCATTATTGCTTTTTTTCCTCAAAATAACACAGTTACACTGCGCTGTACAGGTTGTCAGTGAGGCTACCAGCGCTATTACGCGACTGCATCGGCGCGGCGCTACGCAACGCCGAAGTACAAAACGCCTTCAACTCCGAATGATACCGCCTGGGGTTACCGCGAAGTTCGAATAGTTGTATCCCGCACCTTGTTTGCAATCGAAGCCGCTCTGCGCTTTGTGCTGGCTCCTCACTTGTTTGCTCTTATCTCGTTGTGGAACCCAAACTGCCGTGCTAAGGGAAAACGCCTTGTGAACATTTTTCCGGGGTTGTCAAATTTCCTCTGATAAAACGCTAATTTTTGAAGAATATTTTCTCTGCGTTATGAATATTTTCTCTTGAAATTTCAAGTTAATTCAGATCCTATACTGGAAAAAAAAAACAAAAAAAAAAAAAACCACATTGGACCTAGAGTTCAGACTCTTAAAAACATCGACAAGAAAAAATACTCTTGATTCAATCATATCTAAGCTTAAATCAAGAACCAAGCCTCTTAATTTGAGCGGATTTCCTTTTGATCCAAGCAAAAATCCGATTGAATCAAGAATCCTTTTTCTTGTCGATGTTTTCAAGAGTTTGGACTCTAGATCCGATGCGTTTTTTCCCAGTGATATTTAGCATTTTTAAAAGGAATAAAGAAGTCGCGCGATTTTGAAAACACTGTAATCACGCTGATTTCTTTTCGCTAAATTCATAGAGTACATAGAGTCGTAATGTAAGTGGGAGAGCTGGTGCCACTTTTAAGCATTTTTCATGTCCCGAATTCCGAGACTCCTGTGTGACGCCGGGTCACTTTTTCGATACATAATCGATTGTTTCCGATACACGGGTACCCGGCCATCCGATGACAGCAACAACAACAACAAAGGAGATAGGAATTACCACGTATTCCACACCGCCATTTTGGATCGAAAATGTATCGAAAAAGCGAACCGAACTCGGCGCACACCGGGCTCGGAATTTGTCGAGCAGAACATGGCGCCAGCTCTCCCATTTACATTACGACTCTATGTACTCTATGCCTAAATGTGATCCGTCGATAGGTTACCTTTTGCCGGAGAGATCCTCGAGTTTGAAGATGTTGAAGTCCCAGGCGAGGGATCCCTCGAGGAGCTCCTTGAGCTGGGGCGAGGCGGCGAGGGTGTAGGGGGTGGAGCGGAGCCCGGGGGGCCCGCCCCCGGTGCTCGGGACGAGCGTCTGACTCTTGACCGCGGCCGAGTCGTTGGAGCTCCGCCGCGTCGTCGACACCGGCGCCGGCCCCTGCGAGATGAGCGCCCCGATCAGGTCCGACGTCACTGGGTCGTCGCACCGGATGTTGTCCGCCTTCAGGTGGGATGAGTACAACTCCGTCGTCCGCAGGATGTCCATCACCTGTCCGCAATCACGTTTCAAACATTGATCAAATTCATAGGGTAAAGCAATCATGGGGCAGGAATAAATAATTTTGTGGGAGGAGCTTATGGGAGGAACAGCTCATCTAGGAAGGCCTGGGAGGCAAAAAAAGGTACTTCACTTTGAAGGGACATCCCGTAGGATGTCCATCACCTGGCCACAATCAGGTTTCGAACATTGATCAAATGCATACAGTCAAGCAATCATGGGGTAGGAATAAGTAATTTTGTGGGAGGAGTTTATGGGAGGAGCATCTCATCTAGGAAGGCCTGGGAGGCAAAAAAAGGCACTTCACCTTGTGGGGACATCCCGTAGGATGTCCATCACCTGTCCACAATCAGGTTTCAAACACTGATCAAATGCATAGTCAAGCAATCATAGAGTAGGAATAAGTAATTTTGTGGGAGGAGCTTATGGGAGGAGCATCTCATCTAGGAAGGCCTGGGAGGCAAAAAAAGGTACTTCACCTCGTGGGGACATCCCGTAGGATGTCCATCATCTGTCCATCACAATCAGGTTTCAAACATAGATCAAATGCATATAGGTCTGCAATCATGGGATAGGACAAGACAATTGGACGTATTTTTGTCAAACGGAACTAAGCGCCATAGGGGGAGGAAGGTAGAGGGGGCTTAGATTGGCGGCGGAACCGGGCGTTGGGCTCATTCCGTCTTATACTCGCAATGCTTTTCCATGGCGCTTACAAAGTTCCGTTTGACAGAACGCGCTATCCGGCATTCTAAAATCCTCAGAAGGAACTCAAATTGGCGCTTAGTCCCGTTTGACAGAAATACGTCCAATTTTGTAGGAGGGGCTTACAGGAGCATCGCGTCTAGAAGGCCTGCCGGCCGATTTTTGAAATTGTTAGACAAAGCGACAGACAGAGAAAACATAGGGCAAATGAAGCGATCCGATTGATGGAAGCGGGTGGTTGCAATGGATAGAGGTGGTAAGTGATGGACTAACGAACTGCAACCGAAAAGAGAACTTCAGCCAGTCCATCGTCTTCCTCCTTAGTCTTTAGGGACCACTTATTTTGACCAATAGGATTGCTCCACACTCCCTATGTCTTCTTTGTCTATAGATATATAGACAAAGACAAGATCCTCCCTTACCCCCGTCACCTCATAGAGAAAAAAGAGGAGGTGTTTGCATCTTGAGGTTTATTTACCCTGTGTACGTCACAGGGGTCGGTACAACCTCGCCAGCGAAATCCGGAATTCGAAGTATGAAAAACGGACCATAATGCCCCATTTTTTTGCTTGAATCAACTCATGATATACTTTCAAGCACTTTTTATAGAATGACTTTTTTCCATAAATTACACCATTTCCAAGAAAATCGATGATAAACGTCGCTGTCACCTACGTCATCAAAAAATTCCAAGATGCCCGAAATGCAAACACCTCCTTTTTTTTCTCTATGCCGTCACCTAGGTAACCCAAATCTCATTCAATGCAGCAAGGATAATTTTATGTCAGCTTCCCTTTTTATCAAGATTTTATTCAAAAGGTTTAATTATGGAAATACTCATAATGCTTCACGGGGCTTTAATCTCTCATCTTCGCAGTGGTGTTTCAATCAATTTGTCGGTACAATTGTTTGGACGATTCATTTTTCATAATTTTTTCGCGGCTGTCCCTCCTGATCCCCTTTCGAGTCAGGGAAATCGCTCTCATGGCCTCTTTTGGACCCTGATAAATTGGTGGGATGTCTCCTTGCTGCTTAAATTTGTATGCGTTCCTATCTAATACAAACTCGTGCTACCAATACTGCCGTGCTAAGGAAAAACGTCGTATGAACCCTCAAGTGTTAAGTGTTGCCAAATATCTTCAGATAGAATACAAATTTTCAAGAAAATATGTGAATATTTTGTATGCAATTTAATCGTAATTTTCTTAAAATTTCAAAGGAAAATATGCAAAACTTTCCTCAAAATTATACATTTTATCCGTAGAAATTTGGCAACTCTCGAATGTTCATGCGATGGTTTTCCTCAGCACGGTAGAATAGGAAACTTGCGAATAGTGCGTCCTCTGTCATCGTGACTGGATCTTGGGCATTACACGACATCAAAGTAGTATACCTCAGCGAACCTCTTAAATTTTCAGGAGACGAAACTGTGATGAGTAGGTTGATCTAGGAAAACGAACGTGGAGGATACTGCGGATAACTGCAAAAGGGACAAATCCCGGAACGAAGGGTCATCAATTATTACGGTAGGTATCTCGTCTTTTTGATGTGCTAAAGTACGTCAAAGACAGACACGAAAAAATTACTAAGGAAAAGTAGGGCCTCCGAAAAAGTGAAGTTCAACGAAAATTTCTGCGGTCCAGGTCAAACTGTGCGCTGTGTTGTCGTCTAAGGCATTGAAACTGGATTTTAACTGTCAAAGCTCTTTCTCTCTCACTCTCTCCCTCTCTCTCTCCCTCTCTCTCCCTCTCTAAAAAAAACAAGATAAGAAAAAAACCCCGGGAAATTATACTTATTTCTGCGTAACCAATGGATAAAACTCCACTCAGTTTTAGATCATCACAGTTTTTGAGAAGTGTGCACAAGCACACACAGCCCTCAAAAAAATGACTTCAATTTTCCGTCAAGAAAATTTCCTCTTGAGTCAAAAAATAAAATTCTTCGAATGAAGCAAATCAAGCAATCGATATACGCAACCTCTTTCTTGATAAAAACCTCTTTTCTGCTATTTATTCAAGATGAATTTTTTTTCGACGGCAAATTCTAAATTATTATTTTTTGCTTAGCTCAAGACTTTTTTTTCCCAGTGAGTGCTTCAATTTCGACTTCTTCAATTCTTTGATCGAAAACTTATAGCGTAATACTCCTGAAAAATCATCTTGCAGCCCACGCCGCCGTCTTCCTACTTAAATTCTCAAGTATATTTAAGTTCTCGAACTCAACTGCGAAATGATGAAAATTTAAAACCACCTGAGAGCATTCGAAAGCAGTTACCCCATTTTTTGGGCACTTTTTTGTGTCAATCACGTGGCCATTCGACGAGGCTGATGATTTCAACGGCATCGGCACTACATGACAACTAAGAATTTGTGACTTTTGAAGGGACCTTTAGCACGAGAGGAGGAGGG